CTAAAAATCAATCTTACCCACAATGACAAATTCACCCAGAGACGTTAAAGGAATAGTTACCACTATATAATATAAGTATAAACAGTATGGGACAAAATCTTTCCAGAGAGCCATTGATATTGCCCCTGGTACCAACCTCCTAAGATGCTCTCCTCATTTGTGCAACTTCTGACAATAATCACTTTCCACTTCCTGAGTGCAGCCTCTTACTTAATGACGCTGTGTGAGAATGAAGACACTCCATGTTTTCAGTTTAGCAATGAACACTCTCGGCTACCAATCCATGTTCGGGTTAGAGACACAAGTGAGTGAAAGAGACACTACATCAAAGATGAGGCTGAGAATAAAACCCCGTCCTGCGGTGGCCTTAATCCTTCAACACCTGCGATTTGAAGCACACTCCTTTGATGTTGTTGGTTCAGCTGGAGAGAAAGAGACTTGATGGTGAGACAGAGAGGGAAAGAGAGCGGTAATAGATTGCTCATTTAACACTGAACTAAAGGTAATGCAAGTTAAGGCGATGAATTGGTGCGGATAGCAAATCAGCTCTTCTACAACACTTATAAATATAACTCCAGTGAGGTTTACTGCTCCCTCTCACTGACAAAGTACTGTATGAGAATGCTGACTGGCTATCTGATGTCTGGAAGCAGTAAATAAAATATGAAATGCAAAGCCAGCAGCAATTCATGAAGACACAAGTTGTCATTGAGCTTGTGAAGAGAGCGCTGGACATTATTTTATACACATTTCTCAATGATCCTCCCTGTACTGGATCATCCCCCACAACACACACACATCTCCATAGTCCTCACATGGTTGGGAAATCATTCAATTAAATTGCGTTTGTGCTTTTGTGCTATTGTTTCCATGTAATGTTTAATCATGCTGCTCATTATTTATGCTTTCTGGTGAACGCGTTTCATTAAAGATTAGATATTTGTAGATGATTCAGCTTGAATTCCCCTGTGAATGTATAGCCATCACTTCACCAAAACCATCCAATTGAAACATATGTAGCCTAGTTCCTCTTAATACATCACTCCCACTGAAACACAGCCACAGCATGGGGTCCAAGACAAACTAAAACCAGGCCAAACTGAGCCTACAGGAAGACATCAAACAGCATCTCTGTATCAGGATCACTGGGATTCTCATTGGTGGGAAAAATCTAAACGGACACAAGTCTTTGTAATGACATCATGGTTCATATTGGTCATATTGTACATAAATACTACAGCAACATACCAGAGCTGAAACAATTAGTCGATTGATCAATAGGTAGATTAAATGAAAATGTACCAGAAACTAATCTGCCATTTAATTGGTTTTATTTGTTTCAGCCTCTCAAATGTGGATATTTTTTGGTTTTCATTGACTGTGATACTAAATTAAATACATTTGGGTTATGGATACAAAGATGCCACTGTGGGCCCTGGGAAAAACAATTCTGAAATTAAAATAATAGAATTAGTTAATCTAAATAATAATCGTCAGATGAATAAACAAATATAAATTGTAAGGTGCAGCCCTAAAACTGATAGCAATATGACAACAACAACGGCAATACAATGATCTAGGCTACCACACAATGGAACAATATCATAAGGGACAGAGGGGAGATGGATGAGCCCCAGCGCTGCCACCGCAGGACTTTTACATTGTCCAGCAGAAGGGAAGCTGAAAGGATGAAATCAGCACAACAGAAAACAAAGGGGAGAAAGAGCACAGATCCTGTCATTTTAACATAATTCAGATTATGTGAATTATTCCTGGACATCAGAGGACACACAAACCCACAACAGGCCAGAGTCAAAAAAAAGAAGAGCGAGAGGCATGTACAATATAACAGTCGGAGCATGAATGCACTATAGTACATCCACAGTTCCAAAATAAACAATAAACCAAAGCTGCAGCTGAAACTTATCTTCTTTTTCTAAATCTCATGATTACAAAAAAAGAATTGCTTCGTGTAAAAATGTCAAGAAAAAAGTGTATTAAAAAAGTGTGTCATCAGTTTCCCAGAGCCTATAAAGTGACAACCAACGATCCACAACCCAAAGGTATTTAATTCATCAGTTTTTATAAGACAAGGACGTCTTTGGCCAAATCATTTTTTGTTGATCAATTAGTTGTTTCAACACTATCACAACAAAAGTAAAAAATAATAAAATAATTTCCCAATGAGAAAGAGTCCAATATGACATATTGATACTGTACAACACAACGAAATGAAATGTACAATGATATAAAACACAGATCCTCATAATGGAGAAGCTAAACAAATAAATGCTTCATAAATAATCTAAACCACCTATAAGTAGTATGTATATCAAAGCTCTGATCAACTAGTTGTTTCAGCACTACATTTAATATTTACAGCATTTCATTTATCTTTAGAAGAGATACATTTGGATGTTTTGATAATTGGAATGATTTCCACGGAGATTAAAATTCAATTTCCAGTAATATTATACTTTTTGTTTGTACAATGAAAACAAAAAGGTAACCAATACTCAGATCTTGTCATATTACTATACAGGTGTTTCGAGTGCTTCGGTCAATCAGCAGCAGAGAGATGATGAATTTTGTCTCCTGTTAAACCTCAGTGCATGTACCACCAGCCAGCCCCTCTCCCTCTCTCTCTCTCCGGTGCTTTGTTCTGAGCCGAGCATGTTGGGGGGTTGGGTATAAGAAACAGGGTGTGGCTTCGCTGTTGTCATGGCAACAGAGTGAACCCCCCCCTCTCGACCAGTCACTGTATGGAGTGGAGGAACTCAAGTCTCCATCCAATGACAGTATAATATGTGTGCAGGCAAGCTGACCAAAATATTACCAACATGCATGCAGTAACCTACATGGAGCGTCTGCCGCTGTGCATGCATTTCACAGGCAGTAGGTGTGCTCAGTGGTTTTTTTAAAGCAACGTCTTCCTTAATAGGCTGCCACTGTTATAAAACACAAGGTTACGTGACATTATTGGGTTGTGTGCGTGTGTGGTAGCAATGAGCGCCTGGCCTGCAGACAACCCCACCGAGGACGTTATAGATATTCTTAAAGCAGAGGCACCGATGTGTCTACATACTGTCAAAAACTGCTCAATATGTGGGTGAATTGACAGGACAGTACGCAAAAGAGGTAAATGTAACTGTGAACAAGTGAGGTTTGACAACACAACAGCTGAAATTAAGTGTTTTATCTGCAACAAACATTTCTGGTTGCTGAACAAACAGCACCTGATTGGAATATTGCTTATTACTAACATTAAAAAAAACAATTAAATTCTCCTCACCAGGTGTGGATGAATTCAAAGCTGGGCCACAGCTGCACCATTACTCAGTCACCGGCTCGATATCACAGTTACATTTAAAAGACATGGTTTATACATTTCCTGTAGGGACCCAAAGTTATTCAATGGCAGCTGCACTAATGAAATGGAAAAAAGTCACAACAGCTTGATTAAATACAGGACTTTACTTTACATATACAGTGAGACCGGACTGTTACAAGCCATATAAAATGGACCATGACTTGGTGATCAACTGTATTTGTTACAAAATATTACCACCTGGTGGTGAAATGTAGTACTGCATCACACTGTTGCTGGGTGACAAAGACAAATCCTCAATAAATAAATGGAGAAACATAACAGATGTTTCCATTTAGCATCTGACATAACGTAACGTAACTGGTTTATGAATGATGTGAATAATTTATTATGGCCTTCATAGTCACCAGACCTCGACCCACTTGAACACCTGTAGGAGATTTTGTTGCACTCTCCACAATCATCAAAACACTAAATGAGAGGTTGACTTTTGGATTATGATGTTCAATGATATCCACATGATAATCCCACACGTTTGTCTATATATTGTCCATTTCTCAATGAACAAGATGCCAAGGTATTAATTATTTATTCCGTCACCCTCCCAATAATAAAACTGGTCACAGCGGAGATTAAATCCATATCTCTGAAATGTAAAAATCTATTTCTGTAAATGTCAAACAGAGCAGCTCCCACAATAGATCCCTGAGGGACACCCCATGTAACAGGACACCCCATGTAACATCATCAATTCAACAAAGGGACACAATACAATACAAACAGTGTGCAGTCAGGAGGAGGAATAGCAGGTTATAGTTACTGAAGGCTAAGATTGACTTTCTGAGGCCTGAGAAAAGATGAGAAAGAAATACAGTAAATGTAACTTTTACAAAAAATACAGACAAACATCTCTCAGCCTCTAAAAGTATCATAATTGTATGTACATATACACACACAGTTCATGTAGAAACCTGTATGTGTGTGTGTGACATTTCAGCAGAAGGGCTGCTCACAATCCTCTGATGTTAGCTGTTAGCTGGATCCTTTCTTTGACCGTCTCCATCCACAGGGGCCATGTCTAAGAAACCTGAATGAAACATATTAAAGAAACACTCAATACTTTGCGTGGTGATAATGTAAACAAGACAGTTTAGCAGGATACATATACCCACTTTGACTTTAAATAACGTCGCAAGGCATCGCCTCACCTTCCTTAACTTAGCTAACTAACAGCTAGCTTAAACTACCCACACCGTGTGTTTCAATAACGTGAGCGAAACAAACGCAGGACATTCTTCTTCCGGTGGCTATGGTTTTAAGTAGTTACTTTATAAGTTTGACTTCATGAAAACATGAAACAGTACAAACACAGTCCAGATCCTACACGCCTAACGTTACCTAGTTCAGTCTCAGGCCTTGTTGTTTCGTTAGACGTCCGTTTCTCCGAATTTCGAAATTTCCGATAGTTATCAACAGCATTTGAACGCAGCAGAGCCGTCTGCGCGCCAAACGACAGCGCAGCACTTCTTAAACTTCATATATCATACTTCTTATACTTCATATATTATACTTCCTATCTTCAGTCTACGAGCCCTCCATAGAAAAACATAAAGAGAGCAAGCTAGCTGGAGAGTGACCAGCAAACCGCAGTTTAAAACAGAGGACTGTTGCTATGTTCAGCAATAAGTCTGCCTGGTTTTCCAGCAGTGTGCCACAGGCACGTCATAACTTTTGGAGTAAGTAACGCTGACCTATCCTTACTATTATCACTGCTAAGTAATGCTACTGTAACTGTATTTATACATTCAGCTAGTGAGTGACATTAGGTCATGAAATAAGCTATTAGGACACCATTTCTTACGGAGATGCTGCCACAGCATGTTAGCATTGTAACAGAACAATACTCGGTAGTTTGATCTTGTTTTTTGCTCACAACACGACGTGATATCTCGTAGTATTGGAGGGTGGGACTGTTGCTGGTTGGAGAACAGCAGATTACCTTTTCAGTGAGGATGCTGCATGTGCTGATACACTGAGGTGAGTGTGATGATGCTGGAAAGCTGCACATTTATCAACATTTATCCTCCCGCAGATCACTTGTGAGTCATTTTATCTATAATCCCCTACAAGCTTTCAGTTGTACATTTTCACATTTTCATTTTTAACGATGTCTTTATACTATTGTACCGCGTTCATGCACCAATCACCAAGTCAAATTCATTGTATGTGCCGACACACTTGACATTAAACTGCTTCTGATTCTTCTGACTCCTTCTATACTTTCCCATCTGTTTTTCAGGATATTTGAGAGCAAAGATTGTCTTTGGAACAAGGTTGTGGTTTTTCACAGCTTGTTTCTGTCTGCCTGTGAGAAGCGGCAGAGTGTGAGGTCTGTGTGCATTGGTCATTATGTGCTGCCTCCGGCCTCAGTACAGGAGGGTGAGCACTAACACATTTATTGATTTGTTGTAAACCATAATAAATCAGTGGGTCCCAACCTCGGGGCCAAGACCAGCAATGAGGTCCCAAGATAAGACTGATTAACAAAATAGGATATGTTTATATTTTTGCAGATTTTGTTTCTTTTCTAATGTTGAATACTGGATCGTTTTTAACTCTTCAGGTGTCTTAAAAACTATTCAAAGAGACTAGTCACCCTTGGTTTGAACCTCTCGCAACTCACAGACACAGTCAACTTGTTATAAAGGGTCATTGGCTCATTCAGAACATATGGGATCCACTCTTAACGATTTATTCATTTCAAAGCGAACCAGTTTTACCAATTATAACCCATACAACGTTCTGTGTTATGACTTTAGAGGTGAGACACGTGGTTGGGAGGTTGATTTGGGAGTGTGAGGATGAGCAGTCGGTGGCAAAGGTAAATACAACGGGCGAATATAATACACACATCACGTAGCCTAAATCACTTCATCACTTATAGTTGGACTTCCTTTGTTTTTACAGGGTTTCCATACGAGTTTTACTATCCAGACAGAAGATGAATCCTGTGAAGTCAGCAGAAGCGAGTATGTGGAGTTTCTACTGTAAATATTTAATATTGGTTCTAAATCAATTGCAAACTGTCCACTAAATGAAGTAAGTCCCTATTACTCCTTTGGCAGCTCTGAAGCACCTGACACAGATGCATCAGAAAGTGAAGCCCCTCTGCATGCTCATCATCCAGTTAGTAACACGCTCTCAGGTCAGACATGTAACATAATTCACTGTATGTTTGACAAAATGATTGTCCTGTTTCTAATCAGAAAATATTAGACAATTCACCTGTAATGAAGGTCTTAGATTATTGTTGAGTGTGTTAACATAACACCATTTTCTTCTGTACAGGGTATGTCAGCATTGACAAGCTGCAGAAATATTCAGGTGATCTGTGTGATTTCCACCCCGGATGTTTCAGATGCTCCAACCGTAAAGCCCACTGCTGCCTGCCGCACGCATAAGCAAAGCAGAGGAAGAACATGTTAAAGAACAAGTAGTTGTGCCATTCACACAGTCAGTTGAGTTATTTTCTTTGTTTAGTTGTTTGCATTGCCTTCTTGCACTGCAGTGTCGCTGTATACACTGACATAAAATAAATCAGTCTCACATCAGTGTGAGATCTGTAATTGATTTATTCCTCTAACATTGTCTCTATTTTTTCATGTTGCACAATGAAAAGAGCCATATCTGAAGAAGGCAAATGTTACACATGGGTCCACATTTGCAATTACATCATTTCTTACATCTGCAAAATCCATCTTGCTGTTCAGTTTGTGGTGTGACAGCGGGGTGCCTCCAGTAGAGTTAAATCTGTGTTGTCAACTAACATTCTTTAACTTGTCTGTAGTCACAGTTTAGTAAATAGTACTTCTCTAAGTAAGAAAGTCTGACTCACCAGCAATGACTGCATTGCTGTTTATTAACAGACTTCATAGCCCTATGTAGTTTTATATCACCAGTTGGCAGCCTCAGAATGCTAGAAAACATCAAACTACTCATTTAGTGCACTACTAATGAGGTGTATTCGGGTCAAAGCTATTATTTATTTGTTTGTCGTCCATTAAATGGATAGTGTACAAACGAATACCATAATGGGAATGCTTTACAGTTATTTACTATTTGTTTATAGGAACACTTTCTCAATTGTTTTGTCTCAAAGATGTTTGAATTTTATTTGGAAACTTCAACAATAAAAAAAACGAGTACATAGTTTTCAGGGAAAACCTTGAGGATTAAATAAATAAACTGTTGCCATATTTTGAGAAATATTTTACAAAAACATGGCAGTGGAGTCAGCCAATCGTGTCGGACTGAGACGACACAGAGGGGTTTTATGCTAATTACATCACGGCATATCGATGATGAGGGCTCAATGGCAACGTATAGTCAATATCAACGTCATGTACAACTACGTCAAAGTAGTATCGAGCCGGAGAAGGAGTTATAATAATGTAATGAGTGCAGTTAAATTCATTTTACGTGGAGCGGTCACCCCTACAAAGTGGACTCTTCCACGGGGGCATTGGCCAATCCATGCTTTGTTTTGGTACCAGCCCCTCTGTCAGGAAAGTGAAGCCTGCATGCGGTGTTTCTGTACTTTGACACTTACCAGACAAGAAGAGAGATCCCTCCCTGGACTCGGTTCACCCGTCTGCTGCTTCTTCTTCTTCTTCTTCACCCCGTTGTGTCCGCTCAGTGTTGCATCTGTCATGGCGGAGGAGAATCTGTCCGTGGTGCTGCACGTACAGGGAGACCTCCGGCTGGTAGGAAACTGATCTCAAACATTCACCATTTGCACTAATGCTAGTTACAGTCTGTGTGGATTTAACTGACTGCAAACTTCTTTTTTTGTATTTTGTTTATTTTCCTCAGGAAAAGCGCCCCATCCCGGAGCCAGGACCTAATGGTATGGTTGAGCTGCAATTTACAATTGTATAGTTTACCAACAAGCATTTCAAAATATGTGAATATGATGTACATGCTTTGCAAGGTTATAATAAGTTGAATTAATTACATTTAATGCAATCCAATTAACCTGGGTACTTTGTTTGAGCTTGCTATATTTTCTTATAAGAATATATTCTAAACTGAAGGTGTAAAAACACATTTCCTTTTCACTTTGGTCAGTAGTTAACCTCAAGATAATACTGAATTGCCATTGTGTTTCACTTCATTCACATTTGAAATGCTGAACAAATCAAGCGGATGTAAAACATGATTCAGAGGTCTGGGATCATGCCGGTCTGTATCTTTCTGTGACAAGGTGACACAATGTGCATACCCTTAGTCAGTACTGAACTCTGTCTTGTGTGTCATGTTTTGCACGCAGAGGTTTTGCTCCAAATGCACTCTGTAGGAATCTGTGGATCCGATGTTCACTACTGGCAGCACGGACGAATTGGGGACTTTGTGGTCACAAAACCGATGGTGTTGGGGCACGAGGGGTCGGGGCGGGTGGTGAAGGTCGGATCAGCGGTCAAGCACCTTGAAGTAGGTAAGTGGGTGAGCACTACAGAAATCTGCCATTTCAAAAGATATTTATAATTCACAAAAATGTTTGCTTCTGTCAACTCTGGTTCTTTGTCAAAGCATTAAAACATGCATTCATGGCACTGTGACTTCATATACTGTTCATCATTTTGATGCAATGTCTCACTTAGTCCTTACATTTACATTTACATTTTATATTACATTTTTATGATATTGAAATCAAGTTCCAGTGTTCCCGTAGGCTTACAGCTTTTGGAGGGGGGGGGGGACAGGACACCGACACCGTCACAAACACTTCAAGGAATCATGTTGTTGACTTGCAGGGAGACTATAAATGGCCTGTTTATGCTGTCTACATATTCGACAGAACATTCCTAAAACCCAAAAGAAAACTGAAATAATGCCCTATTCATTCTCTGTATCTATCTATCTATCTAATCAGTCCATTTATTTATGTACGTATTTACTTACTTACTTATTTACTTAGGCTACTTACTTACCAAGATCAGTCTTGTACAGCCAGACAACCGGGGGTGGGGGGGGGCGGGGCGTGCAGCACTAGTCTGTACTTGGACCCGCAGCAGGAGAGCTACTCCGGTTGCATCTTCACCACATGGGAGCGTTTAAAAAACGCAGATATTGTTGTCTGCTTTTCAGGTGGTTGACGAGACATGTTTTCCGACACGCGCTCTCTGTCCGCTGGTGGGAGTGTGCTCATCTGTGTATGCGTGTATGCGTGTGTGTGTGTGTGTCTGTGTGTGCGCACCGGGGCGGAACTCCGCCGTGCGCGATACAGAGAGCAGAGGAGAATTGTACACGCGCGACCATGTAGAGCCATATGTCATGCCGTCGTGTAAATAAGATAAATAACATAAGGCTATTTAGTTTGTTTAATAAAAGAACAAGGTATAGGAAAGGGAACCTTAAAATGACTTCTGTTGTGATCTGGCGTTATATAGAAAACAAAATCAACGCCACCTTCAAGTGGGGGCGGAGGGTGCCGTTGGGGGGGCGGGGCCCCCCTAATACAATGGTAGGGGAAACACTGAGTTCACTCTCAGCCACATAGAGTTATCTGGACAAAGTCAACTTCAGTCTATTTTTTAGGTGACAGAGTGGCCATTGAGCCTGGCGCACCCCGCGAGATGGACGAGTTCTTCAAAAATGGACGATATAACTTGTCTCCTACAATCTTCTTCTGTGCCACTCCCCCCGACGATGGGAATCTCTGCCGATACTACAAACACAGTGCCAACTTCTGTTACAAGTAACAGTTTTTCTCACGATTGTAATGGCTTTGCACCAGAGATTATCTAACAATTTAGTGATCTCCTGTCTGCCAACTGACTCTCTTGCCTAACTTTGCATGTATCCCCTTTCTTCTTCTTCTTTTCTCTCTCTGTGTCTTTTTATTCAACCGTCCAGGTTGCCTGATAATGTGACATTTGAGGAGGGAGCCCTAATCGAACCTCTCTCTGTGGGGATCCACGCCTGTCGCAGAGCCGGTGTAACCCTCGGCAGCACCGTGCTCATCTGTGGCGCAGGTAAAAATGAGCCCAAACTATTAAACTAACACAATTAAACAAGTAAAACAATTCCATCAAAAAGATACTGCAGGCTGTCTCTCAGGACAATAATCTAGTTCTACATACATCAGTGGGTGTAGTTGCAGAGGTGAGAATCATTCTGGCACAGCAGAACTTGAGTGAGTGGAAAACTACTGAACCTTGACACTCCTTGGGAGACATTTCATAATTAACTAATCCCTTATGCTGCAAAAACAAGCCCATGCTCATACGAGACACCTGCGTTGAGCATAACCAGGTGAACTTGTTTCTTATTGCTAAAAACACATCACGACATTGACTCCTTTTTAATTGTATCTGAACAGAACAAATTCTAACTTTTGTTCTCTTCCCACAGGACCTATTGGGTTGGTCTGTTTGCTTGTGGCCAAGGCGATGGGGGCCTCGCAGGTCGTCATCACCGGTAACACACACACACACACACACACACACACACACACACACCTTATAAACATCTATCTCAACCGAAGCGACACAACATGCATATTCTGGTGGCATCTTATCTCCAGGCTTTTCTTTTTGTCTCTTATCCACCTCTGCTGTGTTCAGATACATTACCCGAGCGTCTGACGATGGCCAAAGAGTTGGGTGCAGACTTCCAGCTGCAGGTGAAGAGAGGAGACGAACCTCAGCAGCTGGCCAAGAGCGTAGAGTACCAGCTGGGCGCTCAGCCTCACGTTACTATCGAATGCTGTGGTGTGGAGAGCAGCATTCAAACTGCCATCTATGTATGTGACTACTCAGTGGAGACCATTTAATGTTCTATTCAGAGTTATGAAGTAGCTCTGCACAAAGTATAGACAATATTACATTTACTCAGGTACTGTACTACTTTTTTAAATACTTGTACTTTAGTTGACTGTTTCCATTTCATGCAACATTATACTTCAACTCCACTACAGCTCACCTATTTGACAGCTTTAGCTACTTGTTACTTTACATATCTTTCAACGATTTTAAAATATTTTGCGCTGTTACAGATTAATTAATGAATGAAATACTCACTGTGGCATTTTTTGGTTTTCAGTTTTGATACTTTGAAGTATTTTGCCAGTAATACTTTCATACATTTTGAATGCAGGTCTTAAACTTCTAATGGGAGAATTTTTACATTCTGGTTTTGCTGTTTTTACTTAAGTAAAGAGTCTGAATACTTTCTAATTATAGTACCACATACTTGGTCCACTATGAAGCATAAAGAGTTTCACTATCTGAATACCTATAATATAATCCAAGTTATATATGTGTATATATATATATTTGTTTTCCTGCCAGGCAACACGTTCAGGAGGCGTGGTGGCATTGGTGGGTGTCGGCCCTCAGATGGTCACTGTTCCTCTGATCCATGCTGCCTTAAGAGAAGTGGACATCAGAGGAGTTTTCCGCTACTGCAACACGTAAGAAACAATCCATCAGTTGCCCTTTTTTGTTCTGTAATCAGATGTTTAAAGCAAAGCTGGAAGCTGTTCCACTTGAGAGTAATATTTCATTTATTCAATAATAAATTAGATATTAAAATGAATTGATCTAATCATTTATGTCTCTCGCTGAAGCTCAATTCAATCCGTAACTATTATTAGGCATCACAGAGATTGAACTGGAGTAAACGGATTGTCAATCTGTGTTGCAGCTGGCCGATGGCCATAGCCATGTTGGCGTCAGGTAAAGTGAACGTGAAGCCCATCGTGACCCACCGTTTTCCTCTGGAGCAGGCAGCCCAGGCCTTTGAGACCACACTGCAGGGTCTCGGGATAAAGGTCATGTTGAAGTGTGACCAGAATGACCAGAAGCCCTGATCCAACCCGCCGCAGTGAAACAAACCTGACCTAGCTGAGAGCGACTCAGCATAACAAGTAGGCATAAACATAAAGCGGACATTGACCCTAAGAAAGATAAGATAACCGAGCCGGTACAAAGACACAGACTGATAACAGCTGTGTATACTGACTGCAGGTCAGAGATGTAACGAGCATCAAATGGTACCAGTGATAATGTCATGATGCTCAACTTTGTATGTTAAACAACTTTTTAGTCGTTTTAGGGTTGTACAATTTGTTCAATTTTAAATGTATGCTCATTTTACATATGGCTTCTGTAGTAAAATAAAATCCTTAAAGAATAAAATTTAGATATATGTGGCTTTTTATTTCATTTTCACAGAACCAGCACTACCTAACAGCAGACATTAGGGGGAACTAGAGGCTCAAAGTGGAAACGTATAGCAATGTCTTTGACCCAATTCTCTACTCTATACTATCAGTACACAATATGTACTGTATACTAGTCGTTGAAGTATACCTTTTGTGAGTATACAAGAAACAACATAATTTACCATTATTAACTAATAACTAAAGTATCAATCAAATTGATCTTTAGAAAATGTGCAAGGTGGGCTTTAAAATGCCTCTGAGGTCTTCTAAGACCTGCACACTCAAAAATCAAAGTGTTGTTAACTGACATATCTGAGTTCTGAGATAAGTAAGTTCTTTACTCTCCAATGTGAACACAACATATTCAAAACCTGTTTAGGATTACGCATTATCAGCACTTACACCGTGTGTCCCAATTCCACACTATGACTGGAAACAAAACAAGAGAAAAAATGCTTTGTTAGTTTCTTTCTGAAGTCATCTTACCTTCTGCAATGCATGTGTTTGCATCTGTGAATAGCTCCTCTGATTCCGAATATATATAAAAAAGCTAATTATAGTTAGTATGTAGTGTGATTGTGACATCTAGTAAATCCTACAATGAAAATCAGACTGAATTCAGAATTTTACTGAAAGTCTAAAATTGTGAGACAATAAGTTTTGACTCATCAGTACTTTTATTTTTTCTCACGTCAAACTTTTTTTGTTACCTATTTTTTTTTTCTTCTTCTTTTCTGGCAGCAATGGGCTTCCATACAAAACAGGCTGATCATGAAAATACATTGTTCCAGTCTGTGGCCAGGCAACACTTCCATACAGCAAATTCAACCTTATTGAGAAGCAGTTTGTTAGAATCCGTTTGATCCAGTCCAACAAAACCAGCCGGGTTTAGCGCAGATTTTATTTTCTTGCCACAATGACATGAAACTACTTCACGAGGCATGCACACAGATAATGCTCAGGTGGTCAAAATGTACTACAATGCATTGTAAAACCTTTACCCAGCGGTTAGGCTTGTTTCTGTCACAGTGTGTGATTCACAGTTCTCTCTTTCCCTCTCAAGGATAAAAGCCAACATACAGGTGGGGACATGTTTGCAGTGACTAAACCTGTGTTTTTAGTTTTGTTTTTTTAACATGAGCACAATACTAGACGAGTTCTCTTTATGTACAGACATTCTAATACTGCTTATGGCAATGGGACAGCTCACACAACACAGTTACATTCACAATCCACTCATAGTATGCATGAGTTTCAGTCAGGAACACTAAAGATGAACATACAGTAGAGTAGCACACAAAAGAAACTTCATTTTCATACGTGTGACGTTGATATCAAAAGCATAGTTGATGCATGTTAATAGTTTTACTCGGTTGCTTGTTATTTAAATGTGTGTGAGTGTTTGTACATGAGATTTATAAAAGACTCCAGAGATTGAACTCTTGTATTGCCGTAAAATGAAGAAAATGAAAAGGATATGGCGTTTCTCCCATAAACCCCTGCTGCGAGCATTGGTTTGATTCACATGTACATTATATCAACGTAGCATATTTAAACCCAACATTTCAGACACTTAACTCATTCACTGGCGACTATGATTTCAGGCATTTAATTGTGTCTTTGCCATCGTCACAGACCATTTCAATTCAACAGCGAGATTCAATAAATATTTACAATGCAGCTGTGGCTCCTCCCCATCCCCCACCGCCTTCACCTGCAATATTAGCAAAATATGTATTTACATGAGAAATAAATAAACAGAGAAGAAAATGAAACTATACAAGAAGTATAGTAGAAGTATCATATTGCATTACATGAGTATAAAAAATAAATTGTGACGCTTTCGCTTGATAAGTCCGTCCACACGATCTCACGGAAGTGACACGGAAAAGCACTGACAGGACAAATAAATAACACACACACACACACACACAGTCTCTTCAGCTGGTCAGATGGAAAAATCTCATGTCAATAAAATGGCTGTTGCATGTTAAGCACAGACAAGGAAGAGATGATGAAGAATTGAAGTGATCATCTCAAACAAAAAGAAACAAAAGAGAAATGAATTGACAGGGAGAAGCAATCCTCCCCCAAGTCACTGGTCCGCTTGGTTTGCCCCGTAAGTTAACCAGCCAATCACAGCGGGCATCCTGTCCTGTGGAGCGGCCCCTGGCCATCGTTCATATGTACATTGGTGTCTCCTGTCCTGTTAGAAGTCTGAACATGGCTGCTGGCATGGTCTTCATGTGAATCTGTCAAAAAAAAACAATCTCAATTAAAAGGCCAAACATACAGAGTATATTTTCACATTTCAAGCTCTAGATGATTGTGTGTGTATTATTTGTATGTAAGGTCCATTTAAATTAGAGGTTGACCAGCAGTGGATTTTTAAAGGTCAATATAATAATAACGTTTGGAGCAGGGAAAAAAAGTACATCTACTCAAGTACCATACTTAGGTATAATTTCGAGGTACTTTACTCTAGTATTTCCATTTAATGTAACTTTAGACTTTATTTGACAGTTAGATATTAGTTACTCTTAACATAAAGAAAAACATATGATGTAATGCAGTATTCATTAGCCGCCCTAGATGATGGTTTTAAAGTAAAACCAAAGCTGGAAACAGTGCTACTGTACTTTTGTCTGACTCTCCTTGTGTACGTTTTAAATCTTGATTCATCGCCTGGTTTCTATAAAGAGGACTTAAATTAGTCCGCTATGCAACATAAAAAGTTGTGTAAAATCAATGGCCACTGAACAAGATATACTGACCAGCATGCAGTAGGCCGACCGTTAAAAAAGGTAAATGCATGTGACAGCTGGGTGAGAGGAACGACCTCAGCGGAGATTTCGATTCTGCCTGTGTAGCGATTAGTGAAAGCAGTACATCATTTCAAACACAGCCTCAGACTCGTGCTCCACGCAGAGAATAACTTGACAAATCCTTCACATTTAAAAGCTTCAATAGGTTGAAGCCATCCTTCCGCAACAGAAACTTATATTTTCACACATTTTTGCAAGTGTGTACATTCGTATGTTATTGTGTGTATGTGTTTGTGTGCATCAGTTTAACCTCGCCAACAGAGTTTGAGAGGGCCTGGACAATCTTCTCATGTGCTGTGGCCACCACACTCTGCCCATTGATCTCTATGATCCTGTGGCCCACACGGACCCCACCTCGCTCAGCAATGCCTCCTCGCATCAGACTGCATATCTGACAAAACACGCGAAAGGAAACGGACTATAAGCATAATAATATGCTGATGAATGCTACTAGAAGGGTAAAATGTCTGCAACGATACAGTGATGACATCGGGAAAATGAGGCTGTGAGGCTGGGAATTTACATCTAAAAGAAAATGATCAAATGGAAAACTGCACATTACATCCTCCCTAAAATAATGGAATTATTTATTTATTCATTTTTTTAGCAGAGAACATATTTGGTGTACAAATATTGTGCAAGGCAAAACATGAATTTATCATAATGCTGCAAATGATACAGTGTTTCTTCAGAGTGTTCAATAAAGAGAAATAAAATAATGAGCAGATTATTCTAAACTGAGACAGGAATGTGAAACAAGGACATGATGTAAGGTAAGCAATACAAAATATACCATGCTTAACATCAAAGATAACAATATATCTAAGAGAGAAACACAATCACGCAGTGCATTTTGATAATGTTTTGAAAAATGACATTTTGTTAATATTCCAAATATAAAACCTACAAGTCAGAATCATACTTACAATGCCGTTCTGGACACTGAAGCCCAGCTGATACTTTAGATCTGGTCTCTTAATGAGGACGGTGGTAACAGGAGGGCAACTGACAATGTTCATTTTCACCTGAACCTGGTTCTTCAAGCCCTGAAACGCAGAGAGACACTCAAACTTAAAAAAAGCTTGTTCATTTTCATGGAAATGATGTGGTTTAGACCGGTGTTTGATTACTATTTAATTCACAGCTTCAGTGTCTCTGTACCTTAATGATTCCCTGACAGGTGGCGAGTGGCAGCCCCACTAGGCTGGTGTTGTTGATGGACATGATCTGGTCTCCGATGCTGAGCTTGCCAGAGCGAGCCGCTGGCCCGCCGTTCATCATGTTGGCTAAGATCACTGTGGGTAGAATGGAGCCCCAGCCGGACTCCACAATCACCACACCCAGGATCTCCCCTTTACTCTTCTCCAGCTGCAGCTGTGGAGACGAGACAGATTGTTGGTCGCTTTCATGTTTCATCATGCACAGAAACTGACCATAATTTAAACAATACTGACCGATTTCAGCCTATAACAGTGCTATGACACTAACATTTCATCAGTTTTGTCTTTTTTCTTTATCTGAAAAAGACGCAGGTGTCAGCGTGCTTGGGACTTTTTTCCCCTCCACCAGACAAGCACCAGATTCAGCTACATTCAACTCACTTCCACCTAAAACAATATGATTTCTTTGCGATACCTGTTTTCTAGCTCCCTTCCAGTGATCAGAGCAGAGATCTGTGGTATAACAGCAGGTCTGGAGCTCAGAGGGTACAGCTGGGGGATATCACGATACATACAGTAACATGAGACCATAGGAAGTTGTGTTCGTCATTTCCCCTTTTCCCAAATCGTTTAAGCCGAATGTCACAATTCCCGAGTTGATTGGAGAGTCGGAGCCACAACTATATCATACATTGATTTCCACACCATCTCAATGAACAGTTTTAAACATAGAAATAGAACAGGAGTAGAACAGACATTGAAGTGTTTGCCGTGGTCATTTGACGAGGTCAAAAGAAAACTGTGATTGTTGTTTTTATGGTGACAACACAGGTCAGTGTGTCTTTAACGTGGGTTGCTAAGCCAAGCAAGCCCAGTTTTCCCATCACTACAAATGACTCACGAGCCTCTAATATAGCAGCTGCGTGGTGGTGCCCATGCTGCCTCTCTGCTCATCCAGCAGAAACTGTTTCACGGTTTCTAATCCTCCA